TCATTATATCATATAAGAAAAAGTCCAGAGAGCTATAAAGTTTCATGGTAAATATATCGTTAAGAGTTGTTTTGCTTTGATTTGTCAGTTTTGATCTCTAGAAGAAAACAATAAATAAATGTTCTAGAGCAGAGTAAGTGTTAAACTGCAAATCATAATTTGAAAACACATTTAATGTAAAGTCGTGAGGACTTGCTTACTTATAAGAATATAAAAGGGAGCACAGACTTCTGAAGACTGTGTTTCCAATCAAAGGGAAAGGTGCTTCCAGGGGTGGTAGTATTTATTTGTAATCCTAAAACTTGGGAGGCTGAGGCAAGAAGACTGCTGCAAATTTGAGACCAGCTTGAGATACAAAGTGAATTCAAATCCAGCCTGAACTAGATAGTGAGACTCTATCTCAAAAAACCCAAAATCAAGCAAACAAATAAAAACAAAGGTAAGGGTATTCTATTCAGGCACAAATCACAAATTTTCACAAGGAAAAACTCATTGTATTGTATAGTTTAAGCAACCTCTTGGATTATCGGTTCAAAATTGGTTAATTACACAGGTGCTTGACAGAGCAGATTGCCAGATTCCATATGAATTTGTACCGTTTAGACGATACAGTCAGAAGTTCACCAGTGGCAGCTTTCTTACTGATTCTGAGCAGCTTTATAAAAAGCAGCTGGTGTGATTCTTTTTCCTGGGATTCTGACTCCTTCCTACACAACAGGTTCAGTGTCATGCAGTGAGGAAGTATGCGTGCATATACTCAAAGTTCAGCAAATATTTCTCTTAGCCATTTCCTCATGGACACAAGATGGTTGTAGGAGATCCAGATGTCAGATCCCCACATACAGTGTTTATGAGCCATCTTGTGTTACACTGTAATATATTTCCTAAAATTCCTTTCAGTGATAAGTCTGGCTATATTAGATATAATGTGCTAGGTTCAAAGTGTAATACTTGTTTTTCCATAGTAATGAAAGCTTGAAATTAGTCAGAGTATGAGTCATGGTGATTCAGCTTTTTAAAAAAGATTGGATGCATTACACAGGGACAGAATATTCTAAACAAACTGCCAAAAGAAATGCATGATTTCAAGTTTGTATCAGACTGTTTTCTTGTCTGTAGTGAATAGTCTCTTAACTTGAGTTGCTTAATAATTACTGAACATATTAAAGAAATATACTTCCCTCCTGGATCAGTGTCAAGTCCATAACCACACTACTTGAGAAGGAAGCATCTATGGGAGTTAAAAAAAAATAGGAAGTAAAGGCCAGGAATAAAAGTCAGAGTTTGTTTAAACTTAGCTGTCTTACACTCTTTGTGTATAATCTGGAAGTGCTGCCTTGAGACTACCATGATACAAGAAGTTATCTTTGGCGATAATTTTAATACCACACCACCATTTATTTTCTTGGTAACCTGGATTTTGGTGCAGCAGAGCAGCTAGCAATCTCTTTGCACTTGTTTTGTTTTTAAGATAGGGTCTCCCCGTGCAGTTCAAGTTGACCTTGAACTCATTATGTAGCCTAGGCTAATCTCAAACTCACAGTGATCCTCCTGTCTCAATCTCCCAATGCTGGGGTTACAGGTATGCACTACCACTCCCAGATTCTCTTTGCGTTTTAGAAGGTGATGGCTAACACAGAAAAAAAGTTGGTGGAGTAAGGAAGGTCGAAGGATTCTACAGACAGCCAAACTAGTTTTACTATTTTATCTGGAGCTAGGTTTGCTTCAAGCTCCTGTAAAGGCCAAACCACATCTTTGCCCTAAATCAGTGATATCTCTGTCTATAGATTTTTTATTATCACAACCTGCCTTGTAATAATTCAGTTCTAATCCAATTCTTCTTCAATGCATTTGGCAGTATACCTCCTTGAAATAATCTGAATAATGGCTTGATTATGTTCCATGTCCAATACACCTTACTGGTTTTGTTCCTATTTTAAGGATCCTTTTAACATGGAAACAATATACTGTGACACTTTTAAAAGACCTAGAAGCTTTCCTGCCCCGTTTAAATTCTGGTTAACACTTATTCTCAGAAATTATTTTATTCAAGCAAAATGATTCTCATCCATACTGGTGGCAAAGGGCAATAGTTATTTAAATAGTTGTGAGTGAGGTATTAGAGAACAGGTAACTGATGTAAATTTAATCAGCAGTATATTGGATAAAAACATGTTTACAGGGGACAGAGCTCAGTGGCACAGTACTTTCCTGGCAAGCACAAGGTCCTGAGTTCTATTCTTGATATCCTCCCCTCAAAAGCATTTGTACAGGGAGTAATTCTTAATAAGACTATAGTTTCTTGATTTTTTTCTTTAAATATGTAAAATTTTGCTGTTATGTGGGCAAAATGTACATATTTGTATTTTTAAAATAGGGAATTTTTTCAAGATTTTTGTAAAAGTTAACCAAATCAAGGAAACTAATATTCCTTGATTACATGTCGCAAAAAAACACCTGAGTATTTCCTGGTGGCTTCTGAACTATGTTGAAGTGTTCCTTCAGCCCCAGGGCTTAAAAATAATTTGTACACTGACTACCAAACAAGATCACTTTGTGTAGCTCTAATCTCACAGTGGAGGGATATTCTTATATATAGAATTATCAATGTAAATGTAAAAGCAAATAACCCTCATGTGTGGGTTGTCCACTGGGCTTCCTTATACCAGTATATAATATTTTTTTGTCTTTTTCCTTTTTATCGGTACCAGGGATCGAATTCACAACTCCCTGCTTGCAAGGCAGGCGCTTAGCAATCACTCAGATGTTTAAACTCCCAAACCAGTTGCCACCAGTGATCATTTCCCCTTTTCTATCCAGTTCGTTGGCAAATTATTGTTTTTAACCAAAAAATGTGCTTCCTTGCTTCATTTTGCTTTTCTTTAATGTACTCTCTACACACCAGGCAGAGTGATTACTTTATTTACTTTCATACAGAATAGTTTAAAGACATTTTATAAATTGTGGTAAAATAAGCTTTTGTTATAATGTAAGAAGTATATACTGTATGTTGCAAACAAAATACACGGAGATAAGCATAAAAATGAAAGATAATAATGTTATCTTTACAACTCTTTGAGTACACAAATTTACACATGTACTTTTTAAAAAAGAAATAAGACATTGTAACAATGCCATTTTGACTTTTTTTCCAGCTAATAATCTCTGCTTCTCTATGGCAAAAGTTTCATTTTGTCAAAAGTAATAAGAACTGTGGGAGTAATAAAACCCAAAATGTGTAATTGTTACTGTAAAAAAGAGAGGAAAAGAAAGTGCTTTAAAGGATATAACTGCATGTATATTTAAGTGTATAAGATAGATAAACATATTACTGAGTTTTTGTTGGATCACTGAACAGAACTGTTTGCAGTCTCACTGTTTGAATGTCCACTTTGTATGCTTTAATTTTGTAACGTGAACAACTATTTCTAAGATGATAATATGTAATCTAATAAGTAGTGATTTCCTACTGTTTATTTTTTCGAAATTGTGTATTACTTGTACCCTTTTTATGTTTTTAAAATTTTTCTCCTTAAGTAAAATTAAAAAGTTTCATTTTGTCTACTCAAATTTTTTCAATTGAAAAATGTAATAAGTAGTTTGTAAAGATCAGGATCCAGCTCAAGTGGTAAAGCCCCCTTATATTTCTTTGCATAAAATAGTTTATTTTCTTATGATAGTAAATTGTTGAAGAGATACACCTGTTATCTTCCACTTTCCAAATTTCCTTGGTTATTTTTTCTGGTACTATTTGTTTGCTCATCTGTCTGCTTGTATTTATTGTATATTAGACACAAAAGCTTAATAGATTCAAATTAAGTATTTTCATCTGGAATATATCATAGATGATACTGTATAGTTCACGTGACATTCCATCAAGACACAAAATATGAGCTTGATCTATAGGGCAGCCTTTTTTTTTTTTTTTTTTTTTGGTACCAGGGATTGAACTCAGGACCGCATGCTTGCAAGGCAGGCGCTTATGCCACTGACTAAATCCCCAGCCCCTATAAGAAAGCTTTTAAAGGTATAAAAGGTAAATTGTTTTAAGTGCTATTCATAGCTTCTTTTTGCGTATTGACAAATTCTTTAACTTGGCTTAGAAGATTTTGAACTATTAAATACACGCTTATTCTTCCAACTTTCATTCCAATCTCTATTTTTACAAAAATTCTTTGGTACAGGGTAGTGAGCCTGTTGCTCACTGGATTGTTGTTGTCGTCTCTGGATGTTAAGCAAGCATTATGTTTTTTTGCATACAATACTTTGAGACAGGGTCTTACTAAGTTGCTCAGGCAGGCCTTGGACCTGACATCCTTTTCTCTCACCTTCCCCAGTAACTGGAACTACAGGCACGTGCCACCGCACCTGGCTTCTACCTACTTCTAAAATTGCTACAAAATTTGTTTCTACTTCCTGGGCACCGGAATTGCTTTTTTGGTCTGAGAGGTTCTTTCTGCCTAGCAATTCCTCTTGACTCTCTTCATAATGTCAAGCATCTTTCTAAACTACAAATGTCATTTTAAGTTCACCTGCTCCGAGAAAAGCTTCTTTAATTAACTTGTTTAAAATCTAGTTGATAGGAGCACGTCAACATTTTAAATCCCAAGCTTTTGGTTATTTTCCCCTCCTTATGGCATTAAAAAAAAACAAACAAAAAACCTTACTGGGTTCTTCCCCAACTCTGTAATCTGCACACAGGCAGAGACGATGCCAACTAGGTTCACTGCACACAAAACCACGCATTAGTAGCTGAATGAATTATGATAGGCTGCCAGGTTGTGGGTAGGTGAAAAGGACAATAGTACTATATAGATCAGTTGTTCAAATGGAGGAATAGTTATTCTTAAGTAAAACGGATTAGTCCACTCACGCGGACAGCAGAGAAAACGAGAATTGCAGAAGCAAAGTCAGCGGACCCGAAGGTGCGCACGGGCGTCGCCCCGGCACCCTCACGTGACCGCGTGCAGCGCGCGCGCCCTTCTCAGTGCGCCTGCGCCAGCGCTCCCGGAAGTGACCAGATCCGAATCGCAGGCCGAGCGCACGTCCGTCAGCCCGTCGGTCCGCTGGTCCGCTGCTCTGTACCCCAAGCGCCTCGGCCCTCCTCGCCGTCCCGCCTTCTTTCTGGCCCAAACTGTGGGCAGGGTGCTCAGCATGGCGACATTCATCTCGGTGCAGCTGAAAAAGACCTCGGAGGTGGACTTGGCTAAGCCGCTGGTGAAGTTCATCCAGCAGACTTACCCGAGCGGCGGGGAGGAACAGGCCCAGTATTGCCGCGCGGCGGAGGAGCTCAGCAAGCTGCGCCGCGCCGCCCTGGGCCGCCCGCTGGATAAGCACGAGGGCTCCCTCGAGACGCTCCTGAGGTGGGCGCGGGGCCGGTGGGGGGAGGTCGTCCAGCCTGCCGCCCTAGCCGCCTCCCTTCCGGCTTCTCTCTAGCTGTTGCCGAGGCCCATCCGAGGCGCCCCTCCCCGTCCCGCCCCAGCTGGGCCGGGAGCGCAGGTGTGGTCTGCATTCTTTGGGAGTGAGCAGAGCTGGCCCTGTTGACTGGAAGTGACCGTGCCTTCTCGTCCTGTCCTCTAGTTCTGCTCGCTCCTGCTGTGGGTGACCAGGCCTCGCTACATGGGAGAAGTCAGTGGTGAACTGATCCCTCTCATTAACTAGTTTTCACTTTTCTTTGAGACTTAATTGAAGGCTTTCTTGTCCTCTTCTTTTTCTTGTCACAGTCTTAAGACTTTCTGGGTCTGATCTAAATTTCACAGTGGTGATTGTTTTAGGGAAGTGGAGGAATTGGGACACTAGACCTGATAGCTTTTATTATTTCATATTAATTTGAAGTAGATCATCCACTTAAATTCAAAATAGAGACAGATGGAGAATTCTAAAAGTTACGAGCTACATTTATTTGAAATAAAGCTTGAGTGACAGAACGTTCAACATAGGCTGTGTAAAATTAGTTTACAACCTCTTGTACGTGATGGAATAAATTTAGCAAATGTTTATCGACTTCATGTTGTATTTACATTTATTTATTTATTTTTGGTTTTTTTCGAGAACAAGTCTGGTCATGTAGTTCAGACGGGCCTTGAACTCACTAGCCTAACGTGAACCTGGAACTTGCAAGGATCCTCCTGCCCCAGCCTCCTGAGTGCTAGGATTACCTAGCGGATTGCCACTACACTAGACAACCTCATTTGTGTTTAATGAGTTCTTTAAATGGTAGTTAACAGCGAAGGATGACAGAATATTTGTGTAACAGTGTATGATCTCATTTCCTATGCGTAATGCATTCTTGATCCACAGAGAGGAACACTGTTGTATTAAGGTGCTAATGTTAGAAATCCAGGTTAAACTAGCTGAAGCTAAGAAAAGACAAGTCTTGTGTCGGACCAGTCTGAGGCGATTCCTTTCTAAGCATTAGGCACCACTGGCTCTGTTGTGGAGCTTCCCTCAATGATGGTTTTTTCTCAGGTGAGCTTTGTTTGTCCTTGTACTGGGAAGTGGCCACTAGCCACTCTTAGAGTAGTTATGGTCCATGACACTGCTTTCTACTTAGCTCTGTTGAAAATTGACTGAGGCCTCTAATTTGGTTGGTTTGCAGCCTTTTACAGTGGAGAATAAAATTCAGTGATCTTTGCTGGAGTCATCTCTCTGGTTTAACTTAATCCTTTATGGATCAAAGCAGGATTAGTTTGGACAGGGGAAGGGTTGTGTTCCCTAAAGGAAGAGCTGTTGAACAGATTACTTAGAAGCTGTGGCTCTGCAGTATTAGTTTGAAGGGTAAAACTAACTTGGGCTACAAGGATACTTAACATAAGCATTTAGGAATAGTTGGCCTTTTCATTTTTTTTTCTTTTTTTTTTATTTCTTGAAACAGGGTCCCGCTTTCGTAGTCCATGTTGCCCATAGACTCCATGTTGGCCTTGCATTTGAGATCCTCCTGGCTAGGCTTCCTGTGTGCTAGGATTATAGATATACACATTTACACTCAGCCCACTTGGCTTTTCTTTAGGACTAACATATTTAAAAAAAATCTTCAAAGCACTTTTTGTGTAGTCTGACTTAACATTTAATGGGAATTTTAATTTTAGAAGTTTTAAGAACACAGCCAGACACAGTACTGCATGCCTGTAGTCCCAGCTACTTGGGAGGCTGAGGCAGAAGGATCACAGATTTGTGGCTAACCTGGACAATATTAAGATCCTATCTCAAAAAATAAAAAGGCTGGGAATGTAGCTCAGTGATAGAGCACCCCACTGTTCAATCCCTAGTATGTATTTTTTTTTATAAAAGCTTATTTGTGGTATAATGAATCTTACAATATTTTGTTGAATATATTAGAGTTGGTTCCAGTACTAACAGGTCTTAGGATCATCAGGGGCATTTGGCCCATGGTTTTAAAATAACAAAATCATAGTAGATAATTCAGATAGCATCTGCTGGGAGGTTTAGAAGGTTATTTGTTCATTTTGATTTTTCTTTTATCAACATGAATGTGGGAATTTTGGTAGTGGAGCTTTTATGGAGATGGACTCCTTGCAACTGTTTCTTTGGCATTTGTATATATGTAATCCTCTCTTAGTATAGTCCTTCAGCAAATACTGAGACATAAGTAAGGGAAAAGGGAAGAACCTTCACACTGTTCATCCGCACTTCGAGGTGCTTGATATTCTTTGATATCCTCAGGTGGAGGATCTGGGAATCTGAAGATTATTTTCTAGGATTTTCAGCTGCACCTTGTCTTTTCAGTTGCATGGTGAAAATCCAGTCCATTATGATACTGCATACTTCTTAATTCAGATTCTTGTTTGACTCTTGATATGATTTGGCTTGTTTGTTGGCTCCCTTCCAAATTTTTAGGCAATTTAGATTTCAGCTTTTTCTGGTATTCACTTTTTTCCCTTTTTGGAACCTCTTGTGTGCTGTTGTGCTTTTTTCTATTCTTTTTATCCTTGCACTTTGTGCTTTTGCAGATGCTAACCTTGTACTTTTTTTAAATTTTTTATTTTTTATTGGTGCCGGGGATTGAACTCATGACTGTGCTCTTGCAAGGTAGGTGCTTATGCCACTGAGCTAAATCCCCGGCCCTAAGTTTATACTCTTAACACTGAGCTGTACCTCCTTTTACTTGTTTTTGTTTTATGAGACAAAATCACACAATATGTGATTCAGGCTGAACTCAGATCCTTTTGCTTTCGCCTCCCCAGTGCTTGGATTGCAGATGTATTACAGCAGCCAGCCCTTAATACATTTTTATTTATTTTAAAGTGGGCTTTTGTGAGGGAGCAGAAAGTAGTCTTTATTCAGATCCCTTTGTTTAATAGGAAGAGAAAGGCCATCAACTCTCGAGTGGTTGTATCAGTTTATGTTCCTATCAGCAGGTATACATGAGTTTTTAAATTAAATTAAAAATTTTTTCCCTTCTACTTGTTGCTGTTCACTGATTAATAAATTAAATTACTGCCAGGTGTGGTGACTGACTGACCCATAATCTCAACTGCTCAGAGGTAGAGGCAGGAAGATCACAAACTAGAAGCCAGCCTGGGCAATTTAGTGAGATCCTGTCTCAAAATAAAAACGTAACTGAGATATCATTTAAGGGTAAAGCGCTTGCCTAGCCCTGGGTTCAGTCCCAGCAGTAGGGTAGGAGAGGGGGAGGGATGGAGTTCTCTTTGTGGCTTTGTACCTTTTAAAGATTTTAAATTAAATGAAACTTTTCAGTACCAGGGATTGAACCACCATTTGTGTTTGTCAAACAGGCACTTATGCCACTGAGACAAACCCCTCGCCCCAAGATTTTAAATTTTAAATAAATGAGTAGAAATAAACTCATTTATTTCTATATTTTCTTCCAGCGTCCAGCTTAGTATACTTGCTTTCCATCTTTCTACTTGTGGAAATCTTGTACTCAGGTTCTACTTTATTAGAGATATATTCCTGGTCAGAGTATGCTGATACAGAAAAGCCTAATTACCTGATAAAAATAGAGGTGTGATTCTCTTTTAATTGTGAGTTTTCTTTCTAGAGAACTTTGATACCTGAGATGATAGGTGATAGCTGGTAGAATTATATGCAGGAGTATTTTGTTTTTTGGGAACAGTATTTTGCCTGTGGTAACTGCAGTTAGCAATGGTTGCTTTCTTTTGTAAAGTGTTGGCTGAGCTCTTGTGTTGGAGTTTATTTCCTATTGTTTAGTCATTGTTGATTTCCAGTGACTTCCTTCACTTGTACTTCTCTTTCATCTTCCATTAGCTGACCTAAGGCAGTGATTTTACTTTGAGGATTCCACCTTATAGCTTCTAATCATTTAAATATGTAATATAAATGCACTGTCTTCCCATAGAACTAAAGGTTTTTAAGTTGACTTCAAAACTTTGGGATGAAGACAGTAGGTATAAATTTTTGCAGCATTTGACTGTTCTTTTCTTGAACCATTTGTAGAGCAAGTAATTTTTTCTGCTTCCCTCCTTGCCCACTTTAGCAGAGAACAGCAAATAAGGTCTGCCCAGCTGCTTCTTTTTATTTTGTTTTGATTTTTATAATACTGAATATTGAAACTAGGACCTTTATATTAAGCTGTGTCCCAGTCCTTTTAAGATTTTTAATTTTGAGAGAGAATCTTACTAAGTTAGTCAGGCTGGGCTTGAACCTGGGCTGCTCTGGTTCACCTTTCCAGAATTCTGGGATTAGAGGCATGCATCTGTTTTCGTATGGTCCACGAGGACCACTCCGGTGAGTTAACACTGTGGGCGCTGCAGATCTACGTGAAGGTGTTCCCTATGCTTCATTCTGTCTGTTGCTTCCAGTGCTTGCCTCCGTGGCGAGTGGCCATGCTTAAGGCTACCCAGGCTTGCTCTGGTGCCACCTGCACATTGGGTGCTCTGTTCAGCAATAGCTTGGCATCAAGTAGTGGAACGTCACTCTGGGAATTGTCAGCTGAGCGCAGTACCAGGCTTCCAGTCACATGTGCCAGATGCCCAATTTGAAATGTCTAGGCTTCCTTGGAAGAGATTCCTTGCATAAATTTGGATCTGAGGAAATTAGGCATTTTGATCACTTCTCTCTTCTTACATGGCTCCTTTCATTTAGAGAATGTCTTGCAGCTGATGCCAGTTGGACATATATGTACCTGATAGGACAGCCCTGAGCAAGAAGGGTACAGAGCAGGATAGGAGTTTCTCTATTATTATATAAGTACTTCCGTACTATCTTTGATTTTGCCTTTACCCAGAGAAGCCTAGAGTACTGCTGTTTGGTAACAGCTTGTCAGTCTTGTTGGGTAGCCGTATTGGTCTCTACTGCCTTGCCTTACTCCTACAGGCCTTCTTGCTGCCCTAGGCCTTGGGCACTTGTTTCTTCTTTGTGGACTCCTTGGCAAGTGCCTGCTTATTATTAAAACAGAATTTTAGGGCTTTGTTTTTCAGAGACAGGAGAAAGATTTCTTTTTGAAAACTTTTGTGTTTTCTGTGTGGTTTTTCTTTTATGGCCAGCAACAAACTTAAGCAAAAGACACACTGTCTGCTGTCATAGTTTAGAATGTGAGAAGAGACATTAATATTTCGAAAACTTTTGTGTTTTCTATGTGGTTTTTCTTTTATGGCCAGCAACAAACTTAAGCAAAAGACACACTGTCTGCTGTCATAGAATTTAGAATGTGAGAAGAGACATTAATATTACATGAATAACTGGGATAAATTCTATGAAAGACGTGTTCAGGGGCTTATGAAATTGTAAGTGGAGGAGGAACTAATTTTAAAAAGGGGTTATATTGACTGAGATACTACTTTTGCTGCCACCATGAGTCATGTTGGTTGGTGTTACCATCATCTCTTGACTGTGGGTGATTTCCTGATTTCTCTCCTTTGTCCTTGCATTCCTGCAATTGCTTATATAGCAGCTAGGATGACTGTGAAAATAAAGTAGATCATGGTACTCTTTTATTTAAACCATCTGATCTCGCCCATATAATAAAAACCAAAAGTATTATGGTTGCTCTCAAGGTATTACATTTTTTTTTTCTTTTTTTGCTAATGAGATGGAACCCAGGACCTTTACTTAGATATACATCTCCAGTCCTTTATTTTACTAAGTTGCCTAGGCTGGGCTCAGATATTTGTTCTTTTTGCCTCAGCTGCCCAGAGTGCTGGGATTTGGGATTATAGGCACACACTACTACAACTGTTACTATTTCTTTGACTTTGTCTCTTGTTTGGCCCTCCCTCTTGGCACTAGCCTTCCTTAGGCTTTTCTCTCAGGTAGCACTTAAGCTCACTCCATCATTTCTTTTGGGATTTCTCCATTCATGTTGTTCTAACATTAAAAACAAAATGTAGTTAAATGACCTGTCTTACTTGCAGTGGCAATCTCTTCACCTCACTGTACACATACTTTGTTCCTCTTACCTGTTTTTCTCTACAGTACCTGACACTGTCCTGTATTTTTTCTTTCCCTCTAAAAGCTTCACAAATACACATATTTTAAAATGTTTACTGCTGAATTCCTAGCCCTAGAACTGTGTTTGATTCATAGTAACTGCAGTTGAATTGAGGGCTTTTGGATTGGGAACACCTCCAGGTCTCCCCTCTTGCCCATTTAAAAAAAACCATTTTTTATTTGAGACAAGGTTTTGCTAAGTTGCCCAGACTGGGTTCCAACTTGTGATTTTCCTGTCGCAGCCTCCAAGAATGCTGGATTATAGCAACTTGTGATTTTCCTGTCGCAGCCTCTGAGAATGCTGGATTATAGGCAGGAGTGTTTTGCCATTCCCAGCAGAAACTCTGAAAACATGCAAGCTTAGAATAGAAAGTGAGAAATAGGAGAAAAGGATTCAAATATAAAAGAAAAAAAATAGTTGAAGGCCCTGAACTAGGAGACCATATAATTTAATGACTTGAATGTACAGTGAATATCTTGTGCCAGAGAATTGGATGATGACTAGGTAAATAAAAGATCTTATCAAAATGAAGTATAATGGAAATCCTTTAAAGGGATATAATATTAGTACTTTGAAATTTAGTTCCTAAATACAAGTGTGCCTCCTACGTAACTTTGTTTTGTTAACCCTGGTGATTGAACCTGAGGCGTTTGCTCTGAGATATATTTATAAGGCTCCCTCCACCAATCTTTTTTTTTTTGGTACTGGGAATTGAATTCAGGACCTCATGCTTGCCAGGCAGGTGCATACACCACTGAGCTAAATCCCTGGCCCTTCCCAACCTTTTTTGGAATTAGGATCTCATTAAGTTGCTAAATTTCCAAGGCATGGCTTGCATTTGGGATCCTTCTGTCTCAGTGCTGGAATTTTAAGTGTGTATCACTACACTTGGCTATAACATAGTTCTTTATTTTTATAATAATGGAATTGACATTGATTCAGTATTACCATTTAATCCATAGAATTCATTCAGATTTCATTGATTTTTCTCAATATTATTTACAGATCTGAAGGATCATGCATTGCATTTAATATGTTTGTCTCTTGTCTCTTTCAATCTGGAACAGTTCCTAGTTTCTTCTATAGCCTTCACATTTTTGAAGAGTATAAACTACTTTAAAGGATGCCTCTTAGTAAGGTTTTGTTTCATATTTCCTTGTGATTTATGCATTTTTGCATAGGTGTATTCGTGAATTGATGCTGAATTCTTTTTAGTGCATATCAGCAAACACGATATTGATGTGTCCTTTTAGTGGTCATATTTTTTTTTTATCGTTTGGTTAAGATAGTGTTAAGTTTCTTGACTTTATAGTTGGTGAGTATTGTGTATTTATTAATAGATATTTTGTACATAGATACTTGAAATTTGTGTGATATCTTATTTCTTATCAAACTCATTATTTTTAGTATCTGTTGATGAATGTTACAAAAATCAAATCAGATATTCTACTATTCTAAAAGGTGCCAAATAACAAATTTTCTGATTGTTTCTTCTAGATTTATTCATTGGCATTGTACAGTGGGGCGGAACTTTCATCTGTTCATCTCTATTTACTTTAGAATACTGTTTGTATTACTTATTTTATTTATTCTATTAGGTCCATAAAGCTAGTTTCAGCGGTACCAGAGATCGAACTCATGACCACGCGCTTACAAGGCAGGCGCGTATGCTGCTGAGCTAAATCCCCAGCCCCTAGTTTCAGTTTTTTAAAAGCATGTCCTTATTTCTTTTTTTGGTGTGTGTTGCCACAAATTTGTTGAAATATGATTAACTTTCATCAAATATTTCAAAATTAAAATCATCTCCAAAAAATGATCACAGTTTACAGGGAAACATAAAATTGACAGCTCTGTATTTGTAACATATCCTGTGCTAGGTTGAGTTAGTATTTATTTTGTTTTTTAAGGTTTCGGAGTTTTAGCCCATCTTCTGGCCCTTGTATCAAGCTTGTAGGAACAACATCTTTTTTTGGCAGGTACTCCCGATTTTTACAACTGTCTGCTGTTCCCATGTTACGGTTTGCACCCACATCTAGGGTGTGTTACAGTCTTTCTAAAGTCCTTACAGATGGAATCATGCCAATTCTCAGGATCACCGTTGGTGTCTTCATTAGCCACTGTGACAGGTACTGATTTAGACAAGGCTTTATCTCCTGAAGATTGGCAAAATCCAATGTGTGAAGACAACACTAAATTTTCAGTCATAGGCTTAACTTTTTGTTCATACTGCTTGCCTCACCTGTGGAATTCTGATCTTCATCTCCTATATCAAAAGCTTTATCTTTTTTTTTGAGATAGTATCTTGCTATGCAATTCAGGCTGGCCTTGAATTCACTGTATAGCCCAGGTTGGCCTTGAACTCATGGTGTTTCTATTTTTTCAGCCTTCCAATTGTTGGAATTACAGGTGTGTGCCACCATGTCTAGCCTGATTTTATCACTTTTTTGCATAACCAGATATTTTAGGTTTGAGTCTTGAATGTTCTCATTCTCATTCATGGAATTAACTTTTTCTGTAAGGTTAATTTATACGAGCTCTTTTTAATACAGGGCATTATTTACCTGGGCACTAGGTAGGTATGCTGATAGCTGCTTTGAAGCTCTAGTCACCTCTGGTCTCACTCAGCACATACATTTAGAAATCACATATGTATTTATGTCTGTTTTTCTCTCCATTACAGTAGCAGATGAGTTCACATTGATACTTCTAGTCCAGCCCCAAATCAACACTGGTCTTATCTTTTCCCATATTTATAATTCTTTTCTCTGACAGAGAGAAATCTATGTCCCATTATCTTTTATGTGTGTTCAGTTCTTTCCAATTGTAATCCAACTCATGGCCATGCTAGCCAAAAGCTTAATTTTATACCTCGCTTATTCCCACTCACTTAACCCTGAAAACTTTCCCCCAGAAATAACCATTGTTAAGAGGCTTGAGGAAGGCCAGGTGGGATAGAAGGAAATTAGGGAAGATTAAGAAAGTAGAAGGGGGCTGGTCTGATGGCAGTGGGTTATCAGAACTTACTAACATTAGTGTCACTAAAGTTGGTATACCACCCCTCCCACTGCTAAATTTGACTGGCTTAAAAAAAAAAGAAAGTAGAAAGGAAATAAAGATTAGGGGTCATTTACAAAGTTGGCCCTGACACTCTTCGCCTTCCTCTCTCATCAACTTGCTGGCTGAAAGCTCATGCTGATGATGGGGAGACTGCTTCATGTTAATGATCATTCTGACTGCTGTGTGGAGACTGTATTAGAAAGGAGAAAAGAGACTGGAAGATTAGTGAGGAAACCTCGTTAGTCTACCTGAAAGGGATGAGCCATGTGAACTTTGATGAGCTGGATGGCAGTGCTGGACGAACCTAAAGAAGTGAACATATACTCAAGGACAGTTGAAAGTTGGTTATCTTGTTTTAATCAGCAATTTACCAGAGCTTTGATTTCCAACGGATATAAAAATAAGAAATATGTGATTTCCAGATCACATATTAGTTTATGTTTAGACAGTAAGAGTTGATACATATTTTTCTGTGCTCATAGGTATGTTTTTTACTCACAGTTTTTTTTAGTGCATATATTTTAACTTCTGTCTTTTTTACCTTAAAAGATTGTTCATTTATCTTAAAATAACTGATTAAATTGGTTTTTATAGATCACTCCAATTAAGCTACTCCAAGAATAAACCATTTGTATTTATATGAATGTATCATATTTAGCTCAGCTAATTATTGATTTTACTCTACTTTTTTAGATATTATGATCAGATTTGTGCCATTGAACCCAAATTCCCATTTTCTGAAAATCAGGTAAGTCACTGATTTTATTTTAAAGTCATATGATAATTGTATATTACCCGTTTCCTTCTTTTTATGGCATCATTTTATTGAGATCAGTGATTTTTCTACTACCATTAAGTTTTTATGAGATAGTTTTATATTAACTGTCTGATAGAAATCTATGTCCTCTGGAGAGTCTTCTGGAATTCTGTTCATGTAATGCTTCCTAGTCTTCTGGGTCTCTGTAGAACATGAAACTATTTTATCTAGATCCTCAAATAGAGGACCTATAGATTGATTAATATGACCTGTTGTGTCCTCCTCCTTGACTTTCACAGAACTAAGGAAACTGTATAATTCAGGAATTACTATTCTTGGTTTAAAAACTATTGACACAAATTATATTTACGTATAAAAGTTACAAATGCTGTTCTGATTGTTACAATAAGTTTATCTTTGTTTCCTCCTAAAGTGTAGTTGTTGAAAATGTATGATTTCTTAAAGTTTATTTGATGTTTGGGAGACCGATTAAAAGATTTTTTTTTCCCAGTACTAGAGTATATAGGATTTTCACACTGAGCTATATTCCCAACTTTTAAAAAAAAATTATTTATTTTGAGACAGGTTCTCATCAAATTTGCCATCAAACTTGTGATCTTTCTCCTTTAGAGTACCAGAATGCTGGGATTGTAAGCCTGTGTCACAGTGCCTGGGTCTGATAAAATTTGTATAGTGTGTGGTATTTTAGAGTTTCAAAATAGTGTAAGAAAAGTACTTTAAGCATATTTTCACTGAAGTTTTTATAGATTAAAATTAGAATTATAAATAATTTACATTGAGGTTTGTTTTTAAATGCTTCAGAAAAAATGTGTATGTGGGTGGGTGTTATAATGGGTTAAGGGAGCTGGGGACTAGATGAATCAAGACAAGTAAAAGGCTGAAGCTGCTGATAGTATATAGGAGTTTATTCTGCTAATCTTTTTGTTTTCATGTATGTTTAAAATTTTTCTTAGTTAAGAATTTTTTTAAATGAGATAATTTAAATGAGGTAAAGCTCTTGTATAGGTATATATGTGTGTATTTTTGTAGAACTGACTGGGTAAGGAATTCAGCGCCTTCAGCATGCTTTACTGCTGAGCTGTATCCACAAGCTGTGAAATTCTTTTTAACTGTCATATGTAGTATACTTGTTTTAAAAACAGATAGTTTCTTTTATTAAAATTTCATTCATTTATAATATACTGTCATACAGAAAAGTAAGTCGTGTATAGTTTGAATTTTCACAGTGTGAATATACCTGTATAATTTTGAATTTTCACACAGTGAATATACCTGTATAACTACCATTCAGATAAAAAAAATATTTCATTTCCCCAAAGAAATTATTCTCCACCTTTTTTTTTTTTGGTATTGGGAAACAAACTCAGGACTTGCACTTGGCAGGCAAGAACTTATGCCGCTGAGTTATATCCCTGACCCTCTTCACCTTTTGTAATGTCGGTTTTTAATTTTATCTCCTAGCAAACTTGTAATGTGTTTTTTTTTTTTTGTCTTTCTTTGTCTTTTTCGTTTTTATCGGTGCCAGGGATCGAAGTCACGACTGCCTGCTTGCAAAGCAGGCGCTTATGCTGCTGAGCTAAATCTCCAGCCCCAAACTTGTAATGTTTTATTGGCTTTATTTTTTCTGTTACTTGGCAAGTATTTATGTATTTATTTATTTATTTATTGTCTTTTTCTTTTTTATCGGTTCCAGGGATCAAACTCACGACCACATACTTGCAAGGAAGGCACTTATGCCGCTGAGCTAAATCCCCAGCCCCCAAGTAATTATTAAGAGTTTTTCTGTTGAAGCCATGGTACATTTGTAATGATCAGTAGAATAGTGTTTATGATTACAGACATAGTGACCTTTTGAAGTATCCTATTGTCACTGTTCTACTTTAAAAAATTTATGATACAGAAGAAGGAAAAAGAGTTGATTGACTAGGAGAAGATAATGTTTTAGATATATTGAGCTTTTGATTTTTTCTCCTTATAGATTTTTCTTTGAAAGTGACAACATTTAATGAGCTCTAAGATGATAAAATAATTTTGTTTTCTTTAATTCTGTTCAGATATGCTTGACATTTACATGGAAGGATGCTTTTGATAAAGGTTCACTTTTTGGAGGATCTGTAAAATTGGGTATGTATTTTTAATAGAAATGATAGGAAACAAGGCAAAAGCATTTTGTATTTTTAAAACTTTTCATCTAGTGACTCTTGTAAGTACTAAAATTTTTTACATTTCATTTTCTTAAACTTTTAATGCTATTTCAGATTATTTATAGAGAGCTCATACCTTGCCAGGTGCTGTCCTAGTTGTAAAAATGAGTAAGACTGTTGGCATTCAGTATGTTTAGGAAGATAGTTGATCATTGTAAAGTCCAGTATGTACTGTGTAATGTGTGGTATCTGCTGCGTGAAGTTTGTCACAGCGTGTATATGATGGTAGTCCCCATAGATTATGCGATCTGTTGATACAGTCATCTTGGCTTGAGTAAGTATGATCTGATCTTCACATGTATTTGTTTTTTTTTGAGATAAGTCTCACTATGTAGTTTGTACTGGTTTTGGACTTGCCTTGAAGCCCAGGCTGGCCTTGAACTCGTTAATCTTCTTGTCTCAGCCTCTCTAGTGTTGGGTTTATAGGCAGTGCCACCATGCCCAGCCCACATGTATTCTGTGATATTTGCAAAATGGTACTATCATGTATGAGCTTGATTCTCAGAACATATTCCTGTTATTAAGTGAGGTATGACTTATGTCAGTCTTTGGACAAACTTTTGCAAGTATAAGTGAGGATATAGTGAACTCTACCTGCTAAAAGCAAGCAGTGTTTGGGTCAGATGGCAGAAGACTGAATTTGTTTTTTCTAGGCAGAAAATAATACTACATATATAACATAAACACAAAGGTCAAAATGGTATCACATATGTGCCTTAATTTCATCTGTGGGAATCTTATGTGGATTAAAAGAGTGAAAATATATAGTCATTAAAATAGTGCTAAGTATTAGGTAAAATGAATGGTAATAATAATATTTTGTCATATATATGTATATATAAATGTATGTTACACATACGTGAGTATCCACCTTGGGCCTGGGCTATATCAAGTGAAGAGGAATTGTCTTGAACCACATATAAAATATATAGTTAATGTATATAAGTAACAAAACTTCTGTTTATTTATTTATTTTTTGATGTTTCTGAGGGTCATTTTTGGCCCAAAACTTCTATTTAAGGTATTTAAATTTGTTCAATAATTTTACAAAGTTATACAAGCCCAAGTTTAATAAAAAGAATATGTGTCTACTTAATTACTATAAGCACCTGTCTTTACCAGCACATTTATCTATACTTAAGTTGAAGTACTGTTAACTGATAATTAGTATGTTTTACTCCAAGTCATTCAGATGTAAGTGACATCTGATATATGCAGATTTCCATTAGACTGACTGTGGGGATGGGTACAAGAGGCAAAGTGAGCACTGTACTATACCCTCCCCTATACAGTATTGTGTTCCATGCACGGTCTGTGGTTAAGCACTGTGTAATTGAATGTTGAAAAATACTGCTAAAAGTCACGTCATAGTGTTTACAATCCTGTGATGCTACATTACTCGCTCTCAAGGGCAGCATGTGGCATGGGTTAAAGTATTTATACATGCATTGTGTATATATATGTATACCTGATATAGTGTATACATTGTAAATATAGTATGTACTAAATACCTTGTGAAATATAGACATAGCATGCACATGTCATAAATGTTTATATATAATTTATATCTACATTAAGTACAAGGTATATATAAGGCATACACGTAGATGAGGAAATGGAAATGTGCAATTACTAGAATTTAATGAAGCCGAGATATGAATTCAGAAAGCCTAACTCTACAGACTAAAAGAGAAACAGACTAGTTTCTGGTGAGAGATAATAGGGTGAGACTAGGTAGTAGATGTGGTTTAGAGTAGAAGATGCAGGCTTAGAAAACATTTCAGAGGTGAGATTGATTGGATTTGTTGATAGATGGAAGAGGTAAAGATCTTAAGTGTTTGGCAGTTTGATTGTTTGGACCTTTTAGTAGATTGGATTTGACTCTTCTGTTTTGTATTTGGGTGAAAAAATTTTCCTAGCATTGGGAAATAATGGCTTTAAATCTCAGAAGAGGTAGAGATACAGATTTGGGAAATATCGTTACTAGATAATAATAAACTTAGCTCCTCTGGCAGGTAATAGAGAAGTGTGAAAGTTGGAGTTAGTATAATCAGAGGAAATAAAGGAAGAGGTTCTAGGAATGAGAGAAAAAACTTTCAGATTTTAAAGGAACTAGGAAAAGTTAGAGACATGGAAATAAATGCCAGAAGAGTTTTAATGGTGATGTAGTCCAGTGGTTCCCAAGCCTGGCTGCATATAGGAAAAAAATATACAGAGCGTCCTACAGATGTGACAGGTAGAAATTTGGAGAGGGCACTGGAATTAGTGTCTTTGAAAATATCTCCAGGTGACTCCACTGATTGTGCAGGTTGAGAATTGACAGAGTCATTGTGGCAAAGGTAAGGGTGGCCTTAGTCACTTTCCTTGTTGCTGGGGTGGCTACAGTCTGCGATTGGCTGGATTCATACAAGAATGGCATGACATAGGGACATAGCAGAGGACAAGCTGCTCACATGATGGTGAGCAGGAAATAGAAAAAGGAAGAGCAAAAGAGGGAGATACGCTCCTCCAGATCACACCCCCAGTAACCTGCATATTAGCTGTCATGCCCCCATAATTCAGTTACCATCTGTGAGCCCTGCCTCTCAATGTACGAGGCGCTTGGTGGACTATTTAGATGTAAATCGTAAGAGCAGATGAGGTTGAAAAGTCCCTGGGTTTGGCAGAGAGAGTTTTAGTAGCGTGCTGAAAAAGGCAGGTTGCATCAGGGAGTAGACATGAGGTAAGGAAATGTAAACAGAAGTGTGAGCTGCTCCTTTTGAACAATTTCGGTAAACATTAGGAACAGAGGGAGCATTATGCTGAGAAGGAAGCAAGGTGAAGAAAACTATGTTTAGTGCTGTTGTTGACATAAGGGAATGAAACTTCCAACCTACTGTGTGTCCAGAGTGAGTTCTTATTCTCTAAAATCGAAGAATAAATTTTAAGAATAATGGAGGAGATTAAGAGCAGACCTATCTATTGAGAGAAAGAAAGCTTCTGTTTGAGAGACAGACAGAAGGGGTCCCAAGCGGGCTGCCAAAGATTCTATTTCTTGCGATTTTTATAGAGTAAAATCATGAGATGAGGTGGGTCTAAAGTTGAAGAAAACTGGGAACTTGCAAGGTAGATGGGCATGAGGTGGGACAGACTATATGATCAACCAATAAGTTTTAATTGTTCTGGTAAAATTGACCAAATCAGGGACAGATGGGCAAGGGAGTCATGTAGCAAGTGAGCATTCTTTATGGATCAGTGACTCTTCCTATAGGGGGTTAGGATGGTGACTTTTGGCTTATCAAGGTGATCCAGACTTAATATCTAAAGATTATACTTAAGGATGTGATTGCATTTGTTCTACCCTGTCCTGAAATCTGGCCTACAGCAAGAGGTGTGTGTTTCCTTCAGTGTGTCATAAGACAACTGGTACTCTGTGCGAGCTTCGAGGGTCTAGCCTTGTTTGACAGCCTATAATATTTCTAGCTAGCTCAGCTGCATGTAACAGTGTGAGTTAAATTAGTGTGCTGAAAATAAGTAACAGATGACAGGAAACTAGGAGATACTAGAATCAGAGTTGAATAATGAGCCAAGTTCCTAGAAGAGGAAAGCAAAAAGTTAAGGAGTATAAATAGAACAGGACGTGGTTCATGAAGGCTTTTTAGCCGCAAAAGTTGGAAATTAAATGTGCTTCAGTAATATTACCCACTCAGAGTACTGTACAGTTTTTGGAGACTAAGTGATAATGGAAATACATGTTTGTTGACATGTAAAGATGTATCCATAGAATATTGAATAAAAAGCCTGCTATAGGTCAGAGTCGGTATATTACACATCGTTAAGATTCCTTGAATTAGTCTCCTTGGGACACCATTAGAATCCAGTGTTGAATTCTATTCCCTTTAGTTATGCATTCCAGGCAGCCTAAGTATGGTATAATATGTAGCTTGTCAAAAGTTGTATATGTATAAGGTAAGGTGATTTGTGAAGACAGCAAAAAATTAACTATGATTAACTCTAGGAGGGTGGAATATTGATTTTTAAGTTTATTTTCTTTGGTGGTCTTTTTTAAATAATAGTTTGAATTTTAGAAAATATTTTACTTATAAGCATGTAATTCACTGTGAAAAACTTAGTGAAAAAGAAGGAATCATGAAAAACAAGCATAGAGTTGAATAGTAAGACAGCATTCTTTAAAGAAAAGTCTCACCTTGTAGTCCAGGCTTATCTTGAACACATTGTAGTCTAGACTGGCCTCAAACCAACAGTGATCCTTTGCCTCAGCCTCTTGAGTGCTAAAATTCCAGGCGTGCACCACCATGCCCACAGCTAAAGAGTTGAATATTAAGCAAACAAAAATGAACTCCGCCTGGTTTTTAGATGTACTCCAAGAAGTTGTAAAGGAAAAAAAAAAAAAAACCCATAAGAGTTAATTACGGAACAAAAAAGGTTCTCATGAGATCTCTCAAAGATGAGAAATTGTCAAAACAGAAACCTGTCTCTAGTTTGAGGCCATTATTTTCTGGGTAGTGTATGTTTTCTTTGCTGAAATATCTTTAGTAGCATTGTAAAAAAGAGGTCAACTTTCTGAATGTCTTTGTTTTGAAAATGTCTGTATTGTACTCTCACATATATTGTGGCAACTAGATGACTAGGTAAAAATAAGTCATCCTTGGCTGATTCATTTTGTTCTCTACATCCAGTTAATTGATCAGCAGACCCTTTCAGCTTGTCCTTTAAAGTATGTTAAAAAATTCAGTTACCTCTTAGTACCTCTACTGCTACCATCCTAGGCTTGTTACCATCTCTCAGCATTTAACTGTTGTGTTCCACTAGTCTTCAGCTTTCCTATAGTCTGTTTTCTACAGTAGGATGATTAATACACTGTTGAAAAACTATCTGCTTCTTACCTTATTCAAAATAAGAGTCTGTAGTATAAGTTTG